ATGTTCTGGGCTGGAGGGATCCCCAGTCTGGGCTCAGACACTCACAGGGATCCAGGGGCAGCCACAGCTGCTCTGGGAATTCCACCCCATCTCCATCCCACCCTCCCACGGAGGTCAAGCTGGACTTTGGGGGACTCCTGGACAAAGGTCCCAGCTTTGGCCCCGCAGCCTGACGACACCAACCCCTGTCCCACCTCCCCCGTTTCCCAGGAGTTCCCTGGCTCATCCCAGCCACGGGCACTGGGTGGGTTTCAGGGATATCCCCAGCTCCTACAAAAGCAGGTGACTCCCCCAAAATCCCCACAGAGGGAACGGCGGCGCTCCCAACCACCACAGCATCCACTCAGTTGTGCCTAAACCAAAACCTAAACCAAGCCAGGAACATCCAGCTCCTCAATCCTGGGTGAGGATCACAGAACCGGGCAGATCCCCCCCGGAGGAGGCCGTACCTGTGTGGGCGTGGGCTCGGCCGCCTGGATCTGGAAGTTGTGCGAGGCTTTCTGGGGCACGGTGGGCAGCGTGGCCGAGGCCGCCTGCACCACGCGCAGCGCCTGCTGCGGGATCTGCACCACCTGCGACTCCTGCTTGGGCTGCAGCACCTGCAGCTGCTGCAGCACGGCCGGCTGGCCCGCCGCCGGGCCCTGCACGATCAGCAGGTTGCTGCCGGCCTGGATGATGTTTTCGGCCGTGGTTTCGATCAGCACCGTCTCCACCTGCTCGGCCACGGCCACGGCGGCGGGCTGGCCCGGGGACACGGCCTTTTTGCGGGGTTTTTTGGCGTTTTTGGAAGGGCTGTCCGTCAGCAGCTGGGGCTGCCCGCTCGCCTCGGCGCTCACCAGGTTGTTGACGGGCAGGGTCAGGGTGACGTTGCCACCACCGGGCAGTTTGACCACTCCAGCCGCCGCGGCCGCCGCTTTCTGCGCCAGCGCCGGTTTGATGGGCACGGGCTTGTGCGAGGACGAGGAGGATGAGGATGATGAGGAAGGCGTGAGGATGGCCTGGTTGGTGCCCGGGATGATCTGGATCTGGTTGGGCTGCACCTGGATGGCCTGAGCCGCGCCGGGCACCGCCTGGTACTGGATGTTGGACGAGGATGAYGACGATGACGAGGAGCGCGTGGCTTTGCCCAGCACGGCCGGGTTCTGGATGGCCAACACCAGCTGCCCCCCGGGRTAGGAGGCGCCCACCTGCGAGCCCTGGATCTGGAACAGGTTGCCCTTGGAGGACAGGATGCCGATGCCGCTCTTGGCCGTGCCCAGGGGCAGCGGGGCGGGTTTGATGGGCACCAGTTTGCGAGGGGTGGGCTGCGGAGGGGCCGGCGGCGTGGCGGCCGCTTCCACGGCCGGGGGACCGATCTTGCTACATGTGGCKGCCAGCAGGGCCAGGGGTGACGGCTGTGAGTCCTGGGGAGAGAGCAGCACGGGCACTCAGGGCCAGCAAATGGGGAAATGGCTAATGAGAGCCCCCTCGTTAGCGGGCAGCTGCTTAATGATTGTGTGTGCTTTTATGGGATTGTGGAATTGCAGCGTCAAATCGCTGAGGTTGGGAAGGAGATTTGAGATCGTCCAGTCCAACCTGGAGACCCCCACCCAGGGCACTGAGAGCCCCCTGCCCAGGGTAATGAGTGCCATGTTTGCCCTTTCCTCCAACACTTTCCCCTTATCCCTTTCCTTTCCTTTCCTTTCCTTTCCTTTCCTTTCCTTTCCTTTCCTTTCCTTTCCTTTCCTTTCCTTTCCTTTCCTTTCCTTTCCTTTCCTTT